GCAAAAACTAGCCAAGGGGAGGGAAATTTCGTATGGAAAGAAAATGTTGAGTCAATTTAAATCAGTCAATCCTTTAAATTTGTCGAACCTCCTAACGGAATCCCTTTATGAATAGCTTTGAGTGGGTTGGTTTATTTCCTTTAAATTCCGTTATAATTGCTTATCTTTTGACAGATACGCGTATTTCGTCTACTACTTGCAGACTTCATCAGTGCCAAGTACTCAACACCACTAATTCAGTCGCTGAGTCGTTCTGATTGGCCGTGTGGAACATTTGAAGACTATTAGTCTTTGTTGTACAAGCGTGATTTTTTGTCTTTTTTTGTACATGTCAAAATAAACACTTAAGTAAAAAGTCGCTTATCGTGCATAATAAATATCGTTAATCAATTCCATCCCGCCTAATCTTTTAAGGCTGTGAACCATTTGCTGAGTTAAATTTAACTCGTGATTAAAAGTGACATTTCGAAAGTTATTTTCTATGTTCAAAAATCCCTGTGCTGTCGATCAGCGCTGCCATTTATACAGATTTATCTGTATTATACAGATTTTTTAATCTTAATACAGACCCGATACAGAATACAGATTTATCACAGATTTTTAAATTACAATACAGATTTATACAGATTTTTATAAAATGCTTGACAAAAAAAAATTCAAAATTTATAAAAACAAAATAATTTTTTTGATTGTATGGGGATTTACAGTATTAATTGAATATTTCCAATATAAGCATGTATGTTAAATACAAGAAAAGTGCCCGAGCACATTAAAATGGTACAAATACAAGTACTCGTAAACATTTTACTTGCATTGAAAATGTATTTCGTAAGAAATTGCGGATTTTCTGATATTCTCCATACTGCAAAAATGATTTTACCAGCACTGGCGGGGCGACATCTCTCGACTCTTCGGTGTAACTACCACACAAATGATGTAATTAATTGTATTCATCTATATTAAAAATATCAAATAGTAATGAACTCGTGCACTTTTTTGCATTTAAAACTGCTTATCAGGAAGATAATGAATAGAAACTAAAATCTCCATACATTTTCAAACGGCTTCATATCACTCTTATAAATAAGTACGGACGATATCACAAATGGCGCAATTATATCCCGTATGGTTAGTACGATAGCCTGAATAGGTGGTTAAGCACTTTTTATGGTTATTTTGTATGCACTGTATTTGTAAAACAACAAAACATGATTAATTAAGAAAAAAATCGTCAATACAGAAAATACAGATTTTTTTAATAGAGTGGATACAGATTTTTTATAAAACCACCTGGCAGCTCTGCTGTCGATCGACCGGTTTTGGAGAAGAACTTAGGCTCTGAACCATTTGGTGGATTATTTTAACTTTTGGTTAAAATTTGACAGATGAAAAGTTATCGATTAACCCTGCTATCCGAGCATGGTTATTTCTGACAGACAAGAAGTTAAATTTTGACAACCGTGGCTCGAAAACCGGTCGATCGACAGCACGGGGATTTTCGAACATAGAAAATAACTTTCGAAATGTCACTTTTAACCACGAGTTAAATTTAACTCGGCAAATGGTTCACAGCCTTAGTTGTCAAAATTTAACTTCTGGTCTGTCAGAAGTAACCACGCTCGGATAGCCAGGGTAAATCAATAACTTTCCATCTGACAAATTGTAACCAAAAATAATTCACCATTCAGAGTCTAAATATATCAAGTAGATGTTACAATGTCTTCTCTCTAGTAAATAAATAAATCTAGAGTAACATTTGAAATGGGCCTATGTCCAAAACGTAAACAAATCGGGTTTTGATACCATTCTTTAGCACCGCTTGATATCTACTAATCGTGTAAGAAAGTTCCGCATAATCGAGAAAAATCATTAAAAATAACTCGATTTTCGAAACGGCCGATCAACGAAATTTTTCGATTCATTTATAGGCCCGCACGCTAAAACGGCCAACCATTCATTTATTTCATTTCATTGTTAAGCCTAGTGACGTAGAAAGGCCGATGATTGAAAAATTTCAAACCAAAGCTAGGCCCTACTGCTTGACGCAGGGCCGATGATTTGTTTTTAATTTATTTGACGTTGCGAAAAGGCTTAGCAAAGGGCCTACCATTTCTGATGACAAGCACAACGGCTTAACAAAAAGGGCCTATCCATTGAAAGATTCACAAAAAAGGCTTATTAATTTATAAAATTATATTGTTATCGATTTTCATATATTTTTGAAAGCTTTTCGCATATTTTGGATACTGAGATACAGTTACTATTGTTATTGTGAACAATATAAATGCCTAAAATACTTCAATTTTCTTAAATATGAATTGAATTGAGGTGGCCAAAATTTAAAATTCATTTTCTGGTTTGTTTACGTTTTGGACATAGGCCCATTTCAAATATCTCTCTAGAAATAAATCAAATTTACACGGGCAAAATTTAAAATAACCGAAAGCAATCGTTTTCATCGAGTTCTTTATCTTTCCTTTGGTCTGTGCGCTGCGTATGACACATTCGCTTCGCCCGATACCCACTTCCCGATGACCCCTCGGTGCACTTTTCATTTCACTGTGCGGGTAGCTTGTTTTCGGAGGTTCGGGAAGAACAAACCAACCCCGAAACCGCTCCCTGGGCTGTAATTTATCCTTATAAAATCCTTATTCTCTAAAACCATAGCCACAAAGGCCCAAAATCCATGAATTTGCCGCAGAGAAACCCGAAAAAGTTGCCATCAGAGGGAGGCGTTGTCTCTGCGCCTTCGACCCGAGTTGAGGACCTCCAGCCCCCCTCCGTGGCTCCTACCGTTCGTTTTCCACCTCTCACACACAATCCACTCGACGACGGGTTCCTGCTCTCCTTCGCTGCTATTCCCCCACACAAATTCAACCCCCTTCTGGGAAAACCTGCGGAAATCTTCCACCGGAACAACCGGTACACCTCAGCACCAAAATCAATACCACAATCCGAACACAATTCCACAGCGGATTCTTTTCACTTTTTTTCCATTCCGATATTCCTTTTTCCTCTCGGACGAGAGAACCGCACAGACGCGTCTACACTTACATTTTTTTTTTATCACTTTGAAAAACAGCTTCCCAAAATCTGCTGTTGCCTTCCAGCCAGAAATGCAATAACCAATTGCCTAGTTACAAAAATCTTTCACGCACGATTTTCACCAAACACCGAGCACTTTGAAACACCGTTTCTTTTCTTTGCGTTTTCACGACACGACGACACGGCCACGGACGATTTTTTCCGCACCACGAAGCTTTCTTGAAGCAGACTACCGTTCCGTTTGCGAGTGAAGATGAATCTGGCTCTGCTTCTGGCCTGGCTGGTTGGAGTTGGGTGGCTACTGGACTTGAGCGAGCTTCAGAGTGGCCAGATTATTTTTGTCATTATCGGTAGCCTCTCAAAACTTTTATCGGTAGTTATCGGTAGGTCGACTGAAGAAGGCTTTCCCGATACATGAAACTTTTGTGAGCGGGGGGGGGGGATGTCTCTGTGCTCCAGAACAGTACACTGTCCATCAGTTCTTCTGCTTTAAACGTGTCGAAATCAATTTTTCTATTTATAATCTAAAAATCTGTGATTCTCGGTAGGAAAAGTGAAAAATCGGTTGTTTTGCACCTTTTGTCTGTGAATCGGTAGGCACCCCGAAAATCGGTAGGACTACCGATAAATCGGTAGGTCTGGCCACCCTGGCGAGCTTGCTGACCAAGAAGCGGTACTTTGCGTGTCAAAAACGACTCGTTTTTGTGTAGGTGGAAAAGGGATGGAAAGTCGGTGAGTCGTGAGCACCGATGCTTGCGAGCTGTAGAGGCGAAAGAGATGAATAGAGCTTTGAATGGGAATGGAGGCAAGCGACAGTTTGTTTCCTTTTCGCGAAAATGTATGACAGTAGGTAGATTATGCTGCATGGGACTGGGAATCCGGGATGCCAGATTTCAAAACATGTCTTCATTTGAAGTCGATCTTTTCGTTTTTTCCACTAACATTAAATGTCTGTGAGAGTACTATCAACAATCAATACGAAACTAACGATTTTAAATTGGCTCACCACTTTAGTAGCCTATTGGTCCCAAGCAAACGATTAACGTACCCTATTCTAGTTGAAATTCTATTACTACACTATGTTTGTTTTGATTCGCTATGAAAGTTTGACAGATAACATCAGGGGTGTGTGGATTCATGCAGAACATGCAGGGGTGAGTGAAATAGCTTGGGACTGCTTGGGACCGTTGTTCTGGTACTGAGTGAGCCAAAAATAATAATGATTTTCTTCGGGACCCAGTGGTCTTAGAGTTACCTCTATGGTACTATTGTTGGTACTAATTTGTATGTCTGTCTGTGGTATAAAATCGTTAGTTTCGTATTGATTGTTGCTTGTAGGATGTTATCCAGTGCTGCAAAATCTCGACAGTACACGGTGATATTGACAATTCTGCTTTAGTCACTCATTGGAGCTAACAGTCATAGTCAAGGCAAACCATGTCAATTGTCAATGACAATGCTGTCAGTGACGAACATGTGCAGATTTATTTATTAGCCAAATTTGTAACGAAATTAAATGACTTGAGCAAAACAATTACATGGATCCATTTTAGTGAACAAGTATCTTCGTCCTGAGCTACTTGGATAACAATAATGTGACACATAATGTACTAAATTACACTTTTTGTTACCAGGTGAATCTTTGTCATTGACGAAAAAATGAATGAGATTTTGACGAAGGTTTTTTTGAGGATCAAGTCTGTCAGTGACTATGTGACGAACAATTTAGTCAATATCGCGCGAAAGTCTGTCAGTGACAATGACAAATCTCAGCACTGGTTATAACTGTTATAACTCTGTGTCAGTAGTCTGAACCTTCTGCACAAGGCATTGCATACGTCTTAATCGTGAATCGACCATCCATCATGAGTCACTTTCCCCTCCTCCTGCAAAGAATGCGATTTGTATTACTCTCGACAAGAAATTTATTCGAAATTCTTATACTCTTACGGCAATGTAGGATTCAAATTTACATTCAATCAGTGTCATCTTTAGGACTTAGAACGCCTCTCCGGCGTTCGGTAGATAGTACTTACGGGTCAACAATAATAAAAAAAAAATGAAAAATAAAATGAAAACAAGCCCAGGGCATTAGCGATAAAACCATAAGGGAAGCCCTCAAGTTCACGTGGCCGTAAAGGCCGGTCCAGGCGACAGTGGAATGTCCAAGTTCTGCTGCTTCAGCGACACCACCTCGTAGTAGGTCTGTCCGTTCACCGCATCGTACGTAGCCGGCACATCGGCGAGGACCTCCACGATCTTGCGCTTCTCGCCAACTTGTGGCGATGGGCTGGTTCCCGCCGGTGCTCCAATTCCACTGGTCCCAGGTTGCTCCCCGACTGCGACATTCTGCGATGTGGTCGGTATGTTGAAGTAGATCTGACGGCCCTTCGGCTGGAAACCGGGCGGAATCAGTCCCGGCGAGACGTGCATCATCATCTGCGACAGGTCAACTCCAATGGGAAGAATGTTCCGGTTTTCGTAGTAGAACAAACGACGAGTTTTCATCACATTGTCAATTTCCTGTTGCTCGGTGCCATCAGTGGAGAAGATGACGATCGCACCGGGGTCCGATCCGCGGGTACGGGCAATGTGGGCCAGGAACTCCCGCGGCTGGCTCGTCATGTTGAACAGTACGATCAGATCGATTTTGCCAATTTCCAGCACCGGCTCCACCTGAACCGTTACGATCAACGTATTTAGCATGCCACTGCGAAATTGTTCCACATCCTGGGAGTAATTGCCATCTATAAACAAATAAAAACAATCATCATTGTGGAAAATACTTCACCTTGTAGTAAGCCCCTTCTTACCGATAATCATTTTGAACTTCGATTCCTGAATCTTGCGCAGGTTTTGCAGAATGACCGCACCAGATTCCACCCGTTCTACCACAATCAAAACATTCGCATCAGCTCGTCTCTGCAACGAAATAAGCAATAACCATTTGATTTGGAATCCTTTAGATCACCTCACCCCAACCCCAACCTCACACTCACCTGATGGAACTCCCTCAAAAAGTTCTCCAATGTCTGGAACTTGGGATGCGGTGAAGTATAAGTCCCCCTTCGAAGCTTCAGCAGGTAAGTAGCAAGCTTAGGATCGGCCTGTACCAGTACGTCGTTCTCCCGGATGAAATGTTCCAAAATGGACACAATCCCGTCACGCTGCAGGATGTGATACCCCCGGAGCAACTTTTCGGTCATGTGGAAGTTCAACATCACATCGTGATGATCCTTACGCAACACCCCGGTCAGTATAGTTTGCTCGTAGCGGTTCCTCTCCTGCTGGATCTGTTCCACCGAGATCCGTTCAAATTCTCCCTTGGCAATCAGCTTGGACACGAGCAGCTTCTGCATGTAGCGCTGGGCAATCTCCTTCAATTCCATCAGCAGCGCCTCTAGTGACGGCCCCGGTGGCACTGAAATGTGGCTGATCTCCTTCTTGTTCATCAACCAATCCTCCGGTGTTTCGTGCGGATTACCCCACTGTAGCTCGATGTTCGAAATCAGCCACGTCTTGAGCAGGTTCGCCTCCACCGTCTTGCTCGAAGTCGTCGACACGCACAGCACCCGGAAGTTCTTGGTAAACTCCAGCAGCTTCTGAATGATCTTCGCGTGGGCACGCTGATCCAACTGCGGCTCATCTATGACAATCAGCTTGACTTTGTCCATCACTGGCATATCCTGGGCGGAGCGATTGATATCGCTAATCATCATCGTCGACGAGATAAAGAACACCCTCTTGCCCATCCAGTACCGGGCCCGTTCGTGCACTTTCACACTGTGCATATCCACCACGTCCGTTGGTGCCAACTTCATGAACCGCTCGCAAGCGGCTTTCTGATCGTCGATCATAGCCCGCTTCGGAGCTACGTATATGATCTTCCCCAGCGGGTACCAACGGTAAATGTTGTACATCGTGATCGCGGTGACGAAAGATTTCTCGTTCTTGTTCGGCAGGATGACCAACGAATTGTGGTAAAGACACTTCTCGGCAATCAACGGCAGGTACTCCGAACTGGTAAAGTCAATCGGAAAGAGCCAGTTGATGCCGGCATGTGGATCGAAACCGGCGTACGGATTATGCAACATTTCTGGCTCCGGTGCCGGCTGCTCAAACGACTGACTCTTCCGCTGAGCTTCCTGCAGGAAACCTTCCATAAGAGAGGCAGAACAATTTGGACTCTGCTGGTCCATCATAGGCGGGGAGTTCATCATCAGTAGTTCTTTCACAGCGATTTTAATTTTTATCACAACAAAATCCGAGGGCCAACAAAAACACACGTGTACCTACTTTCTACAGATCGGATCGGACGAGCTCGTTTGGATTTTCGATTCGCGCAGCGTGAATTTCGAATTTTCCGATGACAGTTGGTTGTGTTGCCCGATTTGGAACTGCACGCTTATTCTGGTCAACTCAAACTGGAGTCGAATGCTACTCATCTCAGCGGCAAGCATAGGGCCAATGACGTTTATATAAGGTCTGGGCCAATGACGTTTATATAAGGTCTGGGCCAAAGGGCTTATTGGTGTTAGTGAAATGTGCAAATGGTTAGTGGTTTTCGTATTATATTGCAATGTTTATCTTTTTACACGAAACAGCTGTTGACAGTGACGTATTTCTATCTGTTCTCAGTATGTTGGCAGTGACGTTTTTCTATCTGTTCGCCGATGTTCAGCAATGTTTACAACATTTTTGCTTCTAACACCAGCAAGCTGCCTGTTGGCCCAGACCTTACACAGCAAAAAAAAAAATGTAATATCGATCAACGTAATTCAAGCTGATGTATGAAATAATGATGTAATAGCAAAAAGCAGATACAATATTACATCAATGGATGTAATTTTGTTCGCAAAATCGATGTACATCGTACAATGTGATATTACACAACCGATGGATTGACCTGGTTGCAGCAGTTTCGATGTAATATTCAACAACTTTTTTTGCTGTGTATATAAATGTCATTGGCATAGGGCTACTCAAAATTAGGTAGCCTCATGTTGACTAACTTTTGAGTAAACGACGTTCTCACGAACACAGCAAAAAAAGTTGTTGAATATTACATCGAAACTGCTGCAACCAGGTCAATCCATCGGTTGTGTAATATCACATTGTACGATGTACATCGATTTTGCGAACAAAATTATATCCATTGATGTAATATTGCTAGATAAACATTACAAGAGGTCCTATCTGCATTGATCGATTCTCTTAATCGACTTTCTCTTTCGTCAATAACTCAGCTGCAAAACCGTTCCCTGTTGTATTTGACGTTTTGGACGCTAGATAAGAACCTCCTTTATCAAACTATGTGGTAGAATTAGCTCGAAATCTGTTTGCATAGCAGTGGTTATGAAAAGAGAAAGTCGATGAAGAGAATCGATCAAAGCAGATAGGACCATTTGAAATGTTCATCGAGATTGTATCTGCTTTTTGCTATTACACTCAAAAATATTACTAAACAAGGAAAGATTAAAATTGAATCATTTTAAGGTTGACCAACGTTTATACACTCAAAAATATTACTAATCGAAAATAGATTAAAATTTAATCTTTATTTTATTTAGCTTTGTTTATTCATAGCTTTGAGTAAAAAGTAATCTATTCCAGGTTTTTTTTTTATGCATGAGTATGAATAACATTTCATAGTTCATGATAATGCATAACAATTCGTTTCTCTGTTTAGCTCTTGTCATGAATCGACATAAACCGCCTCAAACAAGTATTTTTATCTGAGCTTCAAGTGGAAAAAAAACTTCAGTAAGTGTTTATAAATCAATATTTAAATGCAACACCATTATTTTTGATGCTGATGTTTGAACTGGGGCCTATTCCGTTCGGTGATCGAGTATTCTGAGGTTCTTTCTATAGTCAAAACTTCTGGTCATTTCAACGCCAGATCAACATAAACAACACTCGGTCGTTGGGCTACTTCTGGTTCTGAGTTGATCTATACGGATGGAAAGTGCCTTGGCGAATCAATAAGATGGCAATGTGATCGAAAAATTGTACACCATTTTAAACAAGGTGCTTCCATGCGAGAAAAAGGTGTACTGTATCTGGGAGAGATTGAACCGGATCGACCATTTCCCGTGTGTCGCAGTATGATGAGGATTCGATTTACGGGGAGTATAATAGTATGTATATAGTATCATGAGAAACATCTTGAAGGGCGTGAGGGTGAAGGTGTGAGAAGCTGAGCTACCGGAATACGGATAGCTGACTATTCTCGCTCATGGATCCAATTGGATGGTACCGTTTTCTGGCCGTGACTTTGAAAAATCAAATGAAAACCTTCTATGCTTTATATATATCCGAGACATCATCATCTATGTCAGTCATTACTGCCACCTCGACTGCCACTAACAGCCTCAACCATTACTTCTTCATAATGTTGTTAATTTCAAAGAATAAAAATAAAAACGTATCTCCATACAGTTCACTCTCTCCAACTTTTTGTTTATGTTTTTCAATCATAACAAATCACATGAAACTGAAAAATAATCGAATCTGCCGAATAAACGCATAATATACATCAGAAGAATACCTCAATTTTATACCATCCAATAATAAACCAGTTTTATACTAAGTTAGTGTTCTCTCTCTTTATACAAATCTATGCGTCGGTAAGGAGAGTTGCGATTTAGCGTAACTTTTAATCTATTTAGATTTGAAAATCCTTTGAGTGTACATTGATACGATTACATTTTGATTCAAAAATTATACTAACTCCGAATATCGGCGTGAAATTCGTTCAGTGTTTTTTATTTGCAAAGTTGTGGTTATTATTTGCGGGGTGTTTTCCGAAGAACTGTGTGAACTGTGTTAGAGAAACAAAACGTCGAACTTCGGTAATTCACAATTGAAGAAAAATCTCGAGAAAAATCGCCTGTGATGGGTTGAAGCACCAGCGTTTGATTGCCTCCATGTGGCACAACCCGAGTGGAGAACTGGAAGCACTCGACTGGGATGGCCCTAATTGCCATCGCCCAAGCTTTGAGTAGTGTTCCCAAGGGCAAGTTGGAGCAGTTGCTGGATGATTGGACTAATGCCGAAGCGTTGATTTGCCCTTAAGGATCTGCTGAACTGGTTGGGATCGGAAACTTGTGCGTCGCTGATGTCGTTACTTGGGTACGTCAACCTGGAAGGCCACACTCATAACACTCTCGTTGCAGTGACTCTCCCAGGTCTGTCCCGCGAAGATCCTGCGTACCCTGTCAGAAATTCCCAGAGCTTCTCTGTCATACACTTCCGATCGAAGGACATCACTTCGCACCTAATGTGCTATAGCCAAAAGAAAGAAGGATTCAAGAACATCTTCCTGCTGCTGTGGTACAACGCGTTCCACTTTCTTCTGCAGAAGATCGGTTGAAACTCATAGCCATGTCATGTTCCACACCGAAAACCATTCCACCAATGAGATGGGCATTTGGATGAATGAATGTAACCTGCCATCATTTTGTATCGAAGTTCAACTAAAACCTCCGAAGGCCAATTAAAAGATGTTTCAGCGACGGGGTTGAGCAAATTGACTTTCTCCAGGAACAACAAATCCCAGCAGCTCTATGGCATCAACCAGTAGGCAAATCTTTTGTAATTTTCACAAGAAATAAAAATAATTAGTTGCGCTTCATGTTTTTTTCATTATACAGTAAAGAAAACAAACAATCAGTATCACCCTTCAGATATATCCAGATTAAGCAACCCAAGCTTAAAGTCAAACAATACAAAGTAAGCATAACATGAATTTATACTAGCGTCCTTATACAGGACTTTTATACTAAGTTTGCATTTTCTCCTTTTATACCGAGCTATGCGTCGGTCAGGAGAGTTGCGATTTAGCGTAGCTTTTATACTATTTAGATTTTAATATTTTTTGAGTGTACATCATTATTTCGTTGATCGATATTACATTTTTTTTTTTTTGCTGTGTAGACTGATTCAAATCCACTCAGCGATATTTTCAGTTGCGGGGTTTTTTTTTAATTTTATTTAAGGAAATGAAAATTGTCTGCTCCTGATTCATTATACCGGAGCAGAAAATGGTTCAACACCATTGCCCTAAGCAATTTATACTTTCCTGAAGGAATTTCCGTCCGTTTTGAGTGAAACATTCACCCGTTTTCTAGGACGTTTCCTCCAACATGGTTGACATTTTTTATGAGTCCAGGATTTTGCTGATTGAGTGACTTTTACTCAGTTTGACAATAGACCTGTGCACGGGTGAACTTTACCCAACAAACATTGAATGTTGAATAAGAGCTTATTCAGGCCAAAATAAGCTTCTTCGGCCAAAAAATGGCTTTTTCAGCTTGTTAATCAACTAAAATTGTTTGTTGGGTAGTTCATCTACTTAAAAAAAATTGACACAACAGCGGGGCCCTGTTTACTAAAAATGAACACATGAATAATGCACGCGTAACATTTTAAAAGGGCCTATCAACTTTTGTATATAATTTGCTAGGTACTTTTCACGAGAATCGAAGTACGTCCACGCAAACCAAGAGCACTATCGGGAAGGGGAGAATTTCCTCTGTTCGATGGTGTTGTTAGTTTGCGTGAGCGTATTCGGTTCACGCGCTAAAGGCTTAACAAGTTTTGTGTACATAAGTTGATACACCCGTTTCAAATGTTACGTGAGTATTATTCATGTGTTCATGTTTAGTAAACAGGGCCCCGCTGTTGTGTAACTTTTTGTCGAGTGAGTAAACTCAAATCCATCCGTGCACTCGTCTATGAGAAATTTTCTCGTTTACTCAGTTTTTGACTACTCGATACATCGTACGAAAGTGACGATTGGGACGACTGGGACTTGAGGGGAATTCTGTTGTTTAACGGCTTTCTCAGTATTAAAACACTCTATATTTTTTAATTTAATTTTTAAAATTATCGTTGTCCTCAAGTGGAGATTAAAATTGCGACCAAGTAGTTTTTTTCCAGAGTCGATGTTATAATAAGAGTCCCGCCAAGAGTGAAGCCAGAAGTACCAATCCTGTCAAGCGGGTTACCAAACAAGCAAAGTAAATAAACATCATTGTTCCCACAGCCAGTGAACTACAAGTTTTGCATTCATTACTGACAATAGTTTAGTAATTTTAGATGAAAAACATTTTTTCACTTTATTTAGTACATTGTGGTATTTATAAGTTATACCAAGCACTTGTTTGAACCTTTTTCAAGTCTATAATTGTTTTTGTCTCCCAGAAGCTCCGTTATCGACATGAAATTTTTCACTTCTAAATGAAAGTCATCCGATGCTAACGCAAAAAATCTGGTTGCCGTTTACTCTGATGAAAAATAAATCACAAACAGTGCTGCTTGTTCGCAACATTTTCTCTTGGCGAGACTCTTATTATAACATCGACTATGGTTTTTTTCGATTAAATATCAATATAAAAATAAGGAAAATCAGCCACAACAACGACTAAACGATTGACAATAACGACAAACAATATTTTCCCTTGAAAAAAAAACCACAACCCATGGCCGAAATGTCGAGCAGATCACATCGTAGCCGTTGTAGTGTTTTAAAACTGAGAAAGCCGTTAATTAAAGCAAAATTTTAACTTTTGAACTATGATCGGAAAATTCCGGAAGAAAACTTCGGGAAATGTTTGAGTTAGCTTCTGAACGAAGCTGAAAAAAGCATCCAAAGAAAGACGAAAGAAACGCTCCTAGATGAAGTTCGAGGAAAGTTCTAAGAAAAGTTGGAAAAACATCAGGGAAACTTCCAATACACGAATTGAGAAACTTGCGGAGAAAATTTAAATAAACTAACGGAAAAAAATCGGATGTCACCTTCAAAGGAAGTAAATTTCCAGAAGTAGCCATTTCCAGGGAAAGCCAGAAGAAGCTCGGAAAAACCATCCAATAGAAGTCGAACAAAAAAACCTTTGGCTTATGGTCAAACTTCCAGAAGATGACGAAAGAAATTTCTAGGAGAATTAATTGAACTTCCTGGAGACGCTGGCAGAAACTTCCTAAGGTAGATTGGAAGAAACATCTGACGAAAATCGGAAGCCAGAGCGCTTACGGAACAGTCGAAAGAATCAAGGACATATTACAGGGAGAAAGAGATTCCTGGGGCATGTTCTAATGATCCAGAAAATTTTCCTGAAATTCATAAAACATCCCTGAAGACTTCGCAGACTTTCCCTGAAGTTTTCAGAACATTCCTGAAATGCACTTATGGAATATTCCATAATTCCTTGAAATTACTTAAAAGTCTCGGATTAGCTCTTATCATCTTTGAAGGCCTCTGGACTTTCTTGAAGATTACGAAATCTATTAAGTGCTCTCACAATTTCTTGATTTTATTGTAACATCCTAAATTTGCATGAGCCTCTCAGGACATTGCAGAAGTTTTCGGAAATTGCCTGAGTTTCTCGGAACTCCTTTATAATTTTAGCAATTTCATTGAAATTAATTGACCGATCCTGATGTTCTCTGAGCTTCACTAAAGTTCATGAAAACCATTAAATTTCCCAGAAAAACTTTGAACTTGTGAATTTTCCAAAATATTTATGATGTTTCCATAAGTTCACTAGAGTTCACTGAACTTTTCTGAAATTTCCGGGGTTTTTTTTTTAATTTTAACCGAAGGTAATGAAACTGTCTTTAATTTATCGAAACTTACACAAAAGTCTGGACTTTTCTGAAGTTTCAGAACTTGCTATTCCGGGAAAGTTGAAAAAACTGGCAGGAGAAGATGAAAGAATCATTCGAGCGAAGGCTGAAGAAGCTTCCAAGGTAAGGTGGAAGAAAATTCCAGGGAAAGTTGGATGAAACTTCAGGAAGTTTAAAATGAATAAAAACTACCGGAAGTTAAATAATGTTTAAAAAATATTTCTCGATTCCCTAGGAATTACCGGAAAGAACCATCAACTATTTCTCGATTGATGGGTAGCTAAAAACGGTGAGGAAATGCGAACATTAGTTGAAAGAGTAGCAAGCATAAGGCATCTTTAGAGATGATTGTTTAGAATTTTGAAGGCTCAAAAATATGAGGTATTCAAAAAGTAGAAGGGTATGTGCCAAGGGGCATGAACGGGAGCTTGACGTAGGATCGCTAGGGCACGGAACAAATGTGAAGAAAATTTAGTTCTTTAGTTTTTAATTGATCGGCGTACCAAATTTGTAGTTTTTTTTCAAAGAGAAAGTTGATGAAGAGAATCGATCAAAATCACTTGCACCCCTGCTTCCAAATTTGGTTACAAGATTACAACTGTGGAGAGCATTTTGTGTGGTCGTTGGGAGCGTGTGGTTCTGAATATGGACCAACAGGCAGATAAATTCTATTCTAACTTTTTACTGTAATTGGCCCAGAAAAGGGCCGTTTTGTTGCCAAAGGTGGTGATGATTTAACCTCCGAAACTGTACAGAGTTCGTCTGTCGCTTCAAAGCGTAGCCCTAATAAAAAATAACCATAAACGAACGATAACCCAAATCATTGAACTATTCCACAAATGGTTTGGATGATACCCAGAACACGTCGTTAAGCAAATTAACCATACAATTTTTATTAGGGAGACTACATCGCTTACAATAGAGCTAATATACTATAGAGGAAGAATAGCGCTGGTGTTCCCTTTGTTCCGATGTTGAATAATACCGGGTACAGAACTGTCAAACTGCATAGTTTTTTCTCGCTTTGACAGTTGTGGCCCTATTAGATGTAAGGAAAATATGTTTCGACAGCGACGGCAGCGCTATTCTTCCTCTATAGTTTATTAGCTCTATTCCGCTTACGCTTGGCGTGTTCAGTATAGGCATAGAGGTAACTCTAAGACTAGAAGGTCCCGAAATAACGTGCTCAACTTTTTGGCTCAGCTCTGGTACTCTCTTCGGTCCCAAGCTAATCGATTCACCCCTCGAAACATAGGAAAAACCAATAACCCCTCATTTTATCTGTCAAACTTTCATAGCGAATCAAAACAAACATTGCGTAGTACTAGAATTTCGATTAGAATAGGGTACGTTAATCGTTTGCTTGTGACCAATAGGCTACTAAAGTGGTGAGCCACTTTAAAATCGTTAGTTTCGTATTGATTGTTGTCAAAAATAGAACGAAAGATTCGACTCAACCGTCTAGTTCCGTACACAGCAAAAAAAAATGTAATATCGATCAACGTAATTCAAGCTGATGTATGAAATAATGGTGTAATAGCAAAAAGCAGATACAATATTACATCAATGGATGTAATTTTGTTCGCAAAATCGATGTACATCGTACAATGTGATATTACACAACCGATGGATTGACCTGGTTGCAGCAGTTTCGATGTAATATTCAACAACTTTTTTTGCTGTGTACGAGAAGCCAAAATTGAGTAATATGCGATATACCCAAATTTGAGTTAATTGAACTTAATTTTGGGTAGAAAAAATTGAAAATAACTTAGCGATGGGTAATTTTTTTTTTGCCGTGCTTAAATGCAAACTAGAGTCGGTGTATTGGCAAATCAAAGTTGGCACTCGTGGAGAATAGATGAACTATGAAAGTGATGATGGTTTCAAAATTTTACACGGTTAGGTATACGAGTTCAATCTTAAAATGCCTTTATTTTGCAAATGGAGCATTTTATTTAAATCTGGTTAATGCTACGTTAGGAGAAAACTTAAGGACTACTCAATAGATATATAATATAGAAAAAATAATTTCTTTTCAGATTTTTAGGTGTATGCATAGATTTCAGCTTTTCTACAACTGTAGCAACAACCAGATTTAAATACAATGCTCCATTTTTAAAATAAAAGCATTTTAAGATTGCACTCGTATAGCTCTCCGTGGAAAATTTTTAAAACCATCATCACTTTTATAGTTCGTCTATTCTCCACGAGTGCCAACTTTGATTTGCCAATAATGAGTCACGCCAAGAGTGAAGCCAAGTCTACCTATTGAACCGTCGAATCGGCTACCTATCGGGCAAAGTAAACAAACAGTACGATGCTATGAAAGGTCCACGGAAGGTATTGCAATAAAATATAAAATATAAACGAAGAAATGAGCATAAACACGCAGTGAGCATTAAAATGTCATGGGATACGTTCGGTAATGATCAGTAATGAAAATTTCTACTATTTTTTGTTAAGATAATTTGACAAAATCACTGATATAATGATTTATTACAGCCGCTATTATTTTTTCTCGCTAGAAGTCATTTGAAGTTGATGCAGAAGTCCTCTGTTGCCAAGTGAAAAGAAAAGGAATCTTACGACAACCGTGATGCGAGTTCAACTGTTTTTCTCTTGGCGTGACTCATTATACACCGACTCTAATGCAAACTACTTTGAGCCGGTTTACCCAAATTTGGCTTATCGTACGAAACATGGGAGATGAGTGAAAAGAACTTAATTTTGGGTTGTTTTGAATTTCTGTGTACGTCAGGCGGGCCGTATTTAAATAAGGCCCGTGATGTTGCCTACTGTCAAACGTATATGATTGATATGGGGTTGCCAGCCAATGAGGTACAGAGAGAGGTGGCGCAGATCGTGAAATAGGGTTGTTTAGTAAACCAAAAAATCAACGTAAACGCAAGTAGTGACGTCACTACTTGCGTGTACTTGCGTGTATCGTACAGTGGTTGTGTAAGTGATTGCTTCACCTCGGTAATCCAGCTCATTGGTTGCCAGCCTTCTGCGCAAAACACACACATGCGATGTATGCGACAGCTGTATGCAATACAAACGCATAATGCGTATGAGTGTTGTTGTTTGTTATTGGCGTTGACGGCGACTCTGTAGCTCTTTACTCCTATGAGAAAATCCATAAGCAAACGTCAGACTGTGCGTGAAACATGGCAGACTTTGTACTATCCTTTCACGCTTTCACTCCACCAAAAATTCCTGTAAGAAACTGTCTGCATTTGCTGGAAGAACAAATTTTTCGACAGTGCCGTCAACGCCAATAGGCTATAAATTTATGGCCCAGTTAAGAGGCAATGACATTTGGTTAAGATGATGCTGTCATACTTATCAAATCCCATATAATGATAAAATTTGCTGTCAGTCCCTTGGTCAAAATGCACCGCTTTGCTCGATTGGAACAGCTTTTTTCAGTTTCAGTTTAATTCCAACCACAATATACCTAAATAAGCTCCAAACCCCCCACCAGTGCCGTCATGTCCGCCGAACATCCGCGGGTAGTGCTCCTATTTTCCGGCAAACGCAAATGTGGCAAAGACTTCCTAACCGAGCGACTCCTTCAAAGGTGGGCACATTATTAACATCTTGCCGTTTCATCAAAATTGAAAATAATTTATACCGTTTCAAACGAAATTTCTACGTGGCAGGCTCGGCGACGACAGGGCGCAGATTATTCACATTTCGGAACCGATCAAACGTAGCTGGGCGGAAAAGCTCGGACTGGATCTGAAGGAACTGCTCAGTGATGGACCTTACAAGGAACGCTACCGTAAGGAGATGATCGAATGGAGCGATCGGAAACGGATCGAGGACTACGGGTTCTTCTGTCGGCAGGCTTGTTTGGCGGCCAATAGGGAGATTTGTGTGGTCAGTGACGTCCGAAGGAAGACGGATGTGATTTTTTTTAGGGAGAGCTATGGGGATCGGGTTAGGACCGTAAGGATCGTGGCCGAAGATCAGACTCGGAGGGAACGAGGGTGGAAGTTCCAGGAAGGAGTTGACGATGTCCAATCGGAGTGCGATTTAGACGATGTGACGGAGTGGGATTTGCTAGTAAGCAACGATAGTGGGGCGGATGTTGAAGGGATTCTGGGCAAAATTGAAACTTTGATCTGAGAACACAGTGACAAATCTATTTTAGTTTAGGTGGCGGCTTTCTTATGAACTAGGCAAGGATAGGACTTTGGTTTTGAGTAGATTAGATTTGTCTAAAAACTGTATTTATTTTCTGCAATGCAATTATTCTTAAGTCATAAATAATAAGAAATGGTTGTTAAATCTACCGGTTTATCTCTTGAAAGAAACTGCATGCACGAACGGTTATTTAATCTACACGAGTACCGAGGGAATCTATCGGTAGTATTGCGAAGATTGTTGTCCCCAGCTGGATGAACTGGTCGTGTGCTGTGGTGAAGATTGCTGAGTATAGCTGGACCGACCGGAGAGATGCGCAGTTTGTGGACTGATGGACATGTTATGAATCAATTGGGTAGCTGCAAGGAATCCGTTTGCTAAGTCCAGGACTTGGAACATTTCGAAAACCTATGAAACTTACCGCTGGATGATGATCCGTATCCGCTTGTAACATAATTCAGCGGAAGTGGACCCTGTCCTCCCGTCGTTGCCCGTGGAGAGTTCATTTGGTCGCAGGAATTCTTCCGAACCGGAGAACTACCAACTCCCGTAGGACCGGCATTCTTGGTATCAATCACCTGCTGCGGCTGAGGAGGCTGTGCTTGAAGGCCCGCCGAAATCTGTGGTGGAGGAACCGGTTGTGGTGGATTGCTCACATGCCGGTGGTTAATATGAGCCTGTAGATCGCGCTGCGAGAGATACGTTCTACGACAGCCAGTGCTTCCGTAGCGAGTTCCTCCGTGAGTGCACATAAAAACGGTTCCTAAACCGGTTTGCTCCACCCGAACGGCCTTCTCCTTGCACCGTGGACAGATTTTCAAATTCTCCGAACGGGCACACCTCAGACAAAATACATGTTTACACGGAATCATCCGGCCGTAGATCAGGATCGGCTTGTCGCACTGGTCACAGATGTAGATCATCGGATTGAGCACCTTCTCGCCGATCAGGTTCACCTTGTGATCCCAATTTAATCTAAAATAAAATTATTTCTTTTTGAACATCTCCTTAATTGTGAGAGCTACTCATCACTCACCTCAACATCGGTTCCGGTGGGCCCCGCGAAATAGTCGTAAACGTCGGGGCCTCCAGCTGTGAAATATCCGCTTCCATATCGATCACAATCGAACCACTAACAGCGGTAGGTTCGTCCACTGCCGGTTCCTTCTCCAACGATGGTTCCTTAATAGTTTCCGTCTCTGGTGGACCCGCTGATACACCCCCTTTTGGAGGCGATGCAATCTCTGCCGGTTCGTCGCTGTCCTTGTCGGGATCAGGCGAACCGACTTCCTCCTCGTCGGACGATATCACCCGGGATGCCTTCTTACCGCGGCCTCGGCCACGACGACGACCCCTACCGCGAGTACCACCACGGGATCCGCGACCCCGACCACGGCCTTTCCCCTTCACGCCACCCTCGTCCGAGTCCATCGTTCCTTTCAGATTGTTGGCTTGATGCTGCTTTACGTCAAAGTTGATTGATCGGTTTTTCTATTTAGCGGCTACTTTTTAACGCGTTAGTTTACGGGAGTTACACAGTCATTGATCGCTAGGAACTCTTTCAGTATTTCAAGTATGATTTAACCTGTTTAAATCAGTAATTCAAGCGAAAATTTAACGTAAATACAAAATGAACGAACACGAAAGCATCGCTCCGCACAGACTGTTTTCGTTGGTTGTCAGAAACGAAACTGTCACTGTCAAACTATCAACAGGGTGTCAGATTCGCTTATACACGCTCATTTCAACCCACTCTGATGAAGTATAAAGTCGTTTCACGCTATTAGAGCAACCGTCCCAATGAGTAAATAATAAGGCACACAGAAAAAAAAAGTTCAGTGCCAACATTTCAAAGGGGCGTAATTGCTTTTGTAAACAATGACTTTAGCCGTCAATTTCTCGTGAATGAAATCTTACCTATCCAAAATAGCAATGCTAGCTGGTAGAGGAGACATTCCTCTACCTGCTGGTGTTATTATTTTTCATTCGTGAGCTTTTATTCGCGAGAAATCGACGGCTAAAGCCATTGTTTACAAATGCAATTACGCCCCTTTGAAATGTTGGCACTGAGTTGTTGAATATTACATCCAAACTGCTGCAACCCGATGTGCGGTATAAGAGGTGAGGAGAAAGGAAACTAGTGGACTCTTTCGTTCTCGCGTCTTCTTACGCAGCAACAGACGTGACGTCACGTCTGCTGTTGCATAAGAACACCGTCAGAATGAAAGAGTCCACTAGTTTCCTTTCTCCTCACCTCTTTTACCGCACATCGGCTGCAACCAGCCCGCATAAACGCAAACCATCACTTGACCTTACCTATAATGGTTATAAATTGTTTATAATCCCTCCTAAACTTTAACTGAAATGGTTTTGGAACCTTACATAAACGTTTGTGTGATAAAGTTTTAACCTTATGTATTATGGTTTTTATGAAGCGGACCTTACAAATAATGGGTCGTTAAGAACCATTACCATTCCAAATTCTTGTTTTCTCCATACATTTTCGGAAAGAGAGCTATATTAGAACGTTCTTACTTATGGTTTGAGAACATTAATGATTATGGTTATGGTAGTGAGTAAGGTCCATTAATCGTTTTGTATTATCGCTCAACTTTACGTGGAATATATCGCGAACTGATAATTATTAATTTACAGGCAACCAATTTGCGATATATTCCACATAAAGTTGATCGATGTTACAAAACCATTCATGGGACTTACTGACTACCATAACCATAACCATTAATATTTTCAAACCATAAGTAAAAACGTTCTAATATAGTTCTTTTTCCGAAAATTTATGGAGAAAACAAGAATTTGAAATGGTAATGGTTCTTAACAACCCATTATTTGTAAGGTCCGCTTCCTAAAAACCATAATACATAAGGTTAAAACTTTATCACACAAACGTTCATGTAAGGTTCCAAAACCATTTCAGTTAAAGTTAAGGAGGGATTATAAACAATTTATAACCATTATCGGTAAGGTCAATTTATAGTTCGTGTTTATGCGGGAGGTCAATCCATCGGTTGTGTAATATAACATTGTACGATGTACATCGATTTTGCGAACAAAATTACATCCATTGATGTAATACTGTATCTGCTTTTTGCTATTACATCATTATTTCATACATCAGCTTTACATTGATCGATATTACATTTTTTTTTGCTGTGTAGTCAAGTAGTGAGTCAATTTAAAATCGTTAGTTTCGTATTGATTGTTGGTATGGGTGCTCTTATGAGGCTACTCATTTTTAAGTCGAAAATCACTCAGTTCAGCCAAAAGGGAAGTTACCCAAAAATGGGTAAGCTTTTACTTAAATTTGAGTAAACGGTCCTATGGAGGAAACTGGGTAACGGTTACTCAGATTATGACATTTTGTCAACTGAGTAAACCGTACACAAAAAAAAAAGTTGTTGAATATTACATCGAAACTGCTGCAACCAGGCGAATCCATCGGTTGTGTATTGATCAGTTCACGAAGATTTGCCGCACTCTTCTCTCACCCGTAAGTTTTGACAGTTTTGGGTGGTTTGTTTTGGCTCCCATTCGTTGCTATCTCTTTTACTCAGAAGCAAAATGATAGGGAGCAAAAAGTGAGGTTAGGGACCGTGCACTGATCTATTATAACGTTGTACGATGTACATCGATTTTGCGAACAAAATTACATCCATTGATGTAATGTTGTATCTGCTTTTTGTTATCGATATACCATTTTTTTTGCTGTGTGCCCATTTCGATAGAAACGAATGAATGCTTAATATATAAATTATTTCGTCCACAAAGAATTCTTATAATATATGAAAATAAAATCAATCATCATTGTAATAGGGAATATTTTTAAAATTAATATTGTTTAGGTAGGTTAAAAATGAACTGGCCGCTGGGAACTTTTTCTTACCGTGTGGCAAACCAAAAAAAAAAAACGTAACGCAACTAGTGATGACATTGGATTCACTCACACAGCTTAACCGATTGCTTCACCTCGGTAATCGAACTTCTTGGCCGTACTTGTCAAAATAGTTTTCCGACGCCAGCCGGGTTTGTTACGTTTTTCGGTTTATTAGCAATCAATAATTTCAGATTTTATCGAAACCCGTCGCTCGATTCCGCCGCAAAATGACCGACGTCATTGCCCAGAGCCCCCCGGAAGCCGAAACCAATGGGGAGAAACCCGATCAAACCCTGTCCGGGCCGATTGTCGGCATTATCTATCCTCCACCGGAGGTTCGCAGTAAGTAGTGGTCTTTGAGGTTCGTCGGACTTTGTTTTCGTTTGCAATCGTCAGTCTCTGTTTCCGTTCGTTTCAGATATTGTCGACAAAACGGCCAGTTTCGTGGCACGAAACGGACCGGAGTTTGCGAGCCGTATCCGGCAGAATGAGTTGGGCAATCCGAAGTTTAATTTTTTGAGTCCGGGTGATCCGTACCATGCGTACTACCAGCACAAGGTGCAGGAGATCCGGGATGGGCGAAACGATGTCAGCTTGGCAGTCGTTCCGGCCGGAATTCAGCAGCTGAAGAGCGCGGCCAGTGTGGCGGCCCAGCAGAAGCAACAGGAACTGCTGAAGGCCGTGCGAGAAGAGCAGTTCGTTCCGAAGGACCCGCCACCGGAGTTTGAGTTTATTGCTGATCCCCCGTCGATTTCGGCACTGGACTTGGACATCGTTAAGCTGACGGCACAGTTTGTCGCCCGAAATGGGCGATTGTTCCTGACCAATCTGATGAACCGGGAGCAGAGAAACTATCAGTTTGATTTCCTGCGGCCACAGCATTCACTGTTTCAGTACTTTACAAAGTTGTTGGAGCAATATACGAAGATTTTGGTTCCGCCGAAGGATTTGATGAACAAACTGAAGATTGAGAGCGCCCCCGGGCGGAGCAGTATGAATGTGGTGCTGGAGCAGGTCAAGTATCGGGCTAACTGGAACAAACATCAGGAGATGCAGAGAAGAAGGGAGGAGGAGAAGGTGGAGAGGGAACGGATTGCATATGCTCAGATCGATTGGCATGATTTTGTGGTGGTGGAGGTGGTAGATTATCAGCCGTACGAGAGTGGCAATTTTCCGCCGCCGACGACTCCGGATGAGGTGGGAGCTCGAGTGCTGATGGAGGAGCGATTGAACGAGGAGGATCACGACATTGAGATGCAGATCGAGTCATCCGAGGAAAGTGACGATGATCGTCCAGTGGGCAATGTGGGCATTAAGCTGTCCAAGATGGAGAATCGCGTGGGACAAGGATCACGCAAGGATAACAACCAAATTCAGGACATGGACGAATCGTCCTCTTCCAGCGACGAGGATGAACCGGAACGTCCAGGACGAGGCAAAGTCACATCGGCTGCTCCTCAGCCGCCACCGATTGCTCCGCCAACCCACGACAAGGTCATTGTCAAAAAGTACGATCCAAAACAGGCCCAAAAGGTGCAGAAACCTCCGGTTTCAACCGGGGACGATTATCTTATTTCGCCGATCACTGGAGAAAAAATTCCGGCTTCCAAGGTTGCCGAACACATGCGTATTGGATTGCTGGATCCTCGCTGGGTCGAACAGCGTGATAAGCATATCGAAAAGGTCGCTCAGGAAAATGTTTACGCTCCGGGTGCGGCCATCGAGGCTAGTCTTAAGCAGCTGGCCGAACGTCGTACCGATATTTTCGGTGTCGGTGACGAGGAAGCTGCCATCGGTAAGAAACTGGGAGAGGAGGAAACCAAGAAGGACGACCGCGTAACATGGGACGGTCATACTTCCAGTGTGGAAGCGGCTACTCGTGCGGCCCGGGCCAACATAACTCTGGAGGCTCAGATTCATCAGATTCACAAGAGCAAGGGACTCATCACGGATGAAGAGAAGGAAAAGATTGGACCGAAACCGATCCCCGGAACGGTGGCCGTTGCCCCGCCGAAACCATCGGCTCCGCAACCTCCGACGCAAGCCACTGCTTCCCAACAGATGTCACAACCGCCGAAGCCGATCCAAGTCCCGCAGCATGCACCGCATCATCAGGCCGTACAAGCCCCCCCTCCGCCACCGGTACCGATGATGATGCAGATGGGTATGCCGATGAGACCACCCCCGATGATGCCTCCACCGTTCCAGGTGGGCTTCGGAGTTCCTTCGATGCCACCGCACGGCGTCCCGACGATGCCTCCGGCTCCCAATATGCAGGATGGTCCCGAGCAGGATGAACCTCTGAACAAGAAATCGCGCACAGAAGACCACCTCATCGAGGAAAGTGTGTTCATGCAGCGGCACAAGGGCCCTGTCACGATCCAGGTCCAGTGTCCGAATCTTACCGAGAAGAGCGAGTGGAAGCTGAACGGGCAGACCATTGCGATGCAGCTGCAGCTGACCGACGCGGTCAGCGTGCTGAAGGGCAAGCTGCAGTCCGAAACCGGAATGCCACCGGCCAAGCAGAAGATCTTCTACGAGGTGAGTTTCGTTTGTATTTCGGGTGAGGGCATTGGTAGTCGGGCGGTTAGATACGGCAATATGATATTAGTTGGATTTTCTTTCTAGGTTACAATTGAACAAAAATAGCGAGTTTGTTTTTTTATATTTATTTATCATTAAGAGTCATTAGAGTGTTAGGGTTTACAGCTCAGAACTAATTATTGTTTGCCATTGCTTGGTACACCTCGAGCAGCAATTGCGGATGGTTGTCGATCAAAGTGTTCCAACCGCTGCTTTGCATAACTTCGTCGGCATTGATTTGGATGAAACGCAGTGTGTGGGTCTTCAGTTGTTGACCATTATATTTCTCTGCAAGAATCAGAGTTTGGATGGAGCTCGAAGCATTAATGTACGTGAAAAGGGCATGTTCGCACGCTGCCTTAAGTCGCTCCAGATCATACATGTTAGCAGTTGATAGCAGACAGGCAGCCGCATCTTTATCAATTTTAGCTTTATCCGTATAGATAAATGACAGCAACTGCTTGAATACTGCCCTAGGCATATCGCAGATCTTTACCTTATTTTGCTGATTTTCCACCATGTTGGTGTTGAACATTGCACGGAACACTGAACTGCGGGCCGACAGAATTTCCTTGTGCGCATTAAAGGATGACCCTTGGACCTCCAGCTTAACATTAGTAAGTTCTCGGATTTTGTGATTGTCACCCAAGTCTCGCAATAGCTGGCCACGGGGAATGATGAAAGGTTCAACCTTTCTTGTAGTAATGCAATAGGTAATCTTCACTTCATTAAGGGTTTGTCCAATTTTTGCCAAAAATGTGTCCAGATATCCACTCAACATTCTTCCAGATTTATGCTCAACATGGTTTGAATCGAATATCAGGAATAACGGCTCAAAAAGAGTTATAATTGAGGAGTCCTTTTTCACCGAGCAATAAAATTCAACATACGTTGAAAAAAAAGGACCAAACACCGAACACCCAAGAAATTTTAAACCACACGTCACTTCTTGGTTTGAGTTGATGGCAAAAATGGCTTGCCAATTAGCATTAGGATCTGTTTCGAATACTTCTGAATACACAACTTTTGATTTATCCAATCTAACAGCCATGGAATGCGAACAGTCCTGAATGATCCAATCGTACTTAAATGTTATCGATTCCAATTTTCCACTGGTTTTGATCGATGACCATTTGGTAGCCGTAGACGCCATTTTAGTTTGCAGTTAAAATGGGTTTCGTTCCACAGATCTGTGCGATAGACCAGAAAAAAAAATGTATTTGTGGGGACGATCGATAAACACCATAAAACTGCTAGGTACTTACGAATATCAAAGTTCCCGTAAAATCGTCGAATACACTTTTTTTTCACTAGCAAAAACAAATCAGGCAAATCGCAGTTACGAATCCGAGGGCGTCAAGTTAACGAACAGCGTTGCCAGGTATAATTTTTAAAAACCTTGATAAAAAATCAGGATTGATCAGGGTACACTGAACGAAAACATCCGCAATACTTCGACTGATTATTGTATTACACTGTACACAAACATCATCCTCTGATCGAATGAAACCTCAGACCATTCAAAACAAAAGACCGAAATCGCTTTTTCGAATGATAGCTGCAACCGGATGAGGGTTGTTTTGAAATCAGATGACTTTCCTCTCGAATACAGGATGAAAATTGTTATGAGAAGGGATAGGGCCTTCAGTTGAAGTGCGTAATGCTCTCTGCAGAATGACTGTCATACTAAATTGAAATGCATATGGTATTGGTTCAGCCCCATAACGCAAATCATTCAAAACGATGATGTAAATAATTCTATAGAATGTCATTTGCTGATCTGAGCTGATAAACGAGCTGGAAGCATATGCATCGCAATCAGAGCTGTTACGAACATAGGTAAAGGATGAAAACCAATGTTTGGCTAATTTCGTGGTGGAGGAGGTTTTCTCCACCACGTAAAATTTTTGTATCCATAATGGAATGGCTTTATGCCTATGCAGTATGGAATTGTAGATAATCAAATTATAAATCTAATTAAAAGGACTTGCATGTCACACTATTCTTAAATGTTTGTCCTTTGAGTGCCGTATGTTTTATAGCTAATTTTCAAACGAAAATCATCCTGTATTTGGATGACAGTCATATGGATGTTCATCATCTGACGACGAATTCAACCATAAGAAAATCATCCGAAATTCGAATGCATATTGTTAAAGGGCTCGAGCAATGCAATAATCATTCGAAGTATTGCGGATGTTTTGGATCAGTGTACTCGAGCCCTTTCTAGGGGCAGATCACTTGAGGTGCATTTATTATAAAGCCTACACTCAACAAATTTCACACGTTTGATCGAAGTGTTTAAACACTTGATTTTTTAAATGCATAATCACATTTACTTTAAGTGTTTTTCACCTTGGTTCAATGTGTTATACACGTTAATTTATAGTGTTTCAAACTTTGAAATGTTGAAATGTTTTCACTATCTATTCAAGTGTATTGCACATTGAATCACGCTACTGTTCAAAACAGATGGATTTAAAGTGTTTTGCATTTCAATACGATGTGAATTGCTTGCTCAGAAAGGTAAACATCGAAAACAAGAGTTGTGACTTTTTCCTATCAACCCGCCTCATATATGAGAACAACCGTGGCACAGTGAGATCGAACGAAGACCCTGGCAGCAGCACACCCCAACAGTTCATGATCGAATCCAAAATCAGACCAATTAAAAAGATATGTGAAAGCTCTGACCTCTGGCAGTTTTGTTTATATAGGGGAAATGCAGGTAATGCCGGCCTAAGTGTCCCTAATTTGGGCCCATACATAAATTCAGCAATCGACTAAATTTTCAATAGCAACCTAAAATATTCATTAGTAACGTCCCAATAACGCGTTCATCTAGATAAAATTGATAAACAGCAGTTTTTTAGCGATGGGCCCAATCTTAGATCCATAGGCCAACGTTAGAGACATTTCCCCTATTTGTCGATTCATTTTTAGAGTCGGTAAAGTAGAAGTCGATAAAGTAGAATATTGTAGAATATTAAACTATGGTGTGCAAAGCTATTGATATCACCATATGAGGCACATAGAATCCAAGTGTGTCACAATTCAAATCGATAGTGTTCAGGCATGGTTCATAGCATAAGATTCACACATGAAATGGATGTGTTTCACAATAAGCGCAAAATTAAGTGTGAGACACATGATGATGGCGTGTGGAATTTTTTGAGTGTAGTATACAGATCGAAGCGAAACGAAAATTGAAGCACGCGAAAAATCATGAAATTTCGCTAGCGAAAAAGGTTGTGAAAAAATGTTCGTGGAACATTTTTCAGGTTCCTTTTTTCGCAGTTTATAGTTCATGTGAAACGAAATCGATCAGTTTACACCTCCGGTGAAGTGAAAATCTGACAGATACGCTCTCCCGAAACGTCAACTTTTCGCTTAGCTGCTGTTCTTTTCGCGAGCGCTGCATGCGCGAAAAAAAAATAAACGTAAGCGAAAAAGATGCGATCCACAACATTAGATTTCGCTGGATCGTATCTGTTTACAGTTCAAAGCGAAGCGAAATATTTGCCAATTGCGTTTTTCACGCCGGTGAAAAATGCAGTATTTTGTATGAGATTTTCGCTTCGCTTCGATCTCTATACAGGCAACAAAAAAAATCAGTGCATTTTAGGCTGCGTGAAGTTGTAAGTGACACCTCCCACTGAAAAGTTTTGCCCTGTTTTGTTGTTCACTTCAGTTCGCTCAAATCCACACTCTTGACTTGAGAAAATAATTATTGCGCAGAAAAAAATCCGTTGAAATTTCCGGTGGCAGCATTAAAAATCTCCACCGGAATCGTGCAGAGCCGCCTCCACCGAAAGCGCGAGAAAACTCCGTCGAAGTACGTATGCATGTACATGCAGATTCTGGCAAAATGCACCTCTCTTGGGGCATCTCGGTGAAGGCGCAGCTATAAAGCAACACCATGCTGGAGGAGGCTGGGTTCGATTCCCGGTTCGGTCTAGGTGAAAAATTCTAAATTGTAAGTGCCAGTTGAGAGCAAGCGTAAGGTCCCAGTAGGTACGTAATCAAGCTCCTTTGGTAGCACCGAAATCTCTAGGAACCCTCTTCGCCGTGAATATCTGAAAACTCCGTCGAAACTTCCCTGGAAAATTCAGATGCTGCCAACGGAGGTTCCCAGAGACTTTCGACGAAGTTTGCACGCATTGTCGGCGAAAGAGGATCTGCACAATACCAGTGAAGAGATTGGATGCTGCAGACGGAAGCTCCAGGCATTTTCCCCCTTTATCGATGGACGAAGTTCCGCGTGATTTCGGTGATTTTGGATGCTGCCAGCGGGAGTTCCTAGAAGTTTCAACGGATTTTTATTTGCCTTCTCGGCGAATTAAATTCTGCATGTTTTCGAAGACGATTCTAGTAGCTGCCAACGAAGGTTCTAAGAACTTTGTCTTGTTCTGATAAAGGGTTCATCCACCAGGATTACGTTTGACTTGGTTTGACTAAAATACATTGGGGCTACAGTGAGTCTATTGATGTTGACAAATAAATATATTACAATTGCATAAAAAATGCGAAATTTCGATGGCTTTTTCTTGCGATCAAGGCCACGGTTTCGGTGGCGATTTATGATGCTGCCAGCCGAGGTTCCAGGGAATTTTAACGGAGTTTTCTCACGTTCTCAACGGAACAGGTTCTGCACATGGTGGAGGTTTTTTGATTCTGCCAGCGGAGATTTCAGTTTCGACGGAGTTTTCTCGCATTCACGGTGGTGATTTTCGGTGCTGCCAACGGAAAGGAAATCTGTACGGTATTTTCTCGTGTTTTAGGTGGAGGAGCAGGTTTTGCGTGATTTTGATGTTGGCAGGGATAATTCCGGAGGGAGCTTTTGCACGATTCCGTTGGAGAGTTTCTTTGCTGCCAGAGAAGGTTGCAGGGAGATTTTCGTGAGTTCTCTACACCGAGTTTTCTTTTCCTGTTGTGTTTATCTTTATCTTCGATGCATG